ATGGCAACTGCCACGAACCTTGGCTGAAATGAATCCAGATAATCTCATCCAAGAACGCCCAGAGTTGGTTGGCCACCATCCACGCAAGAATATTGTTAAGGAAGCAATATTTGCTACCAGCCTGGAGTTATCATGTTCTTTCAGGTCAAGGGAGGATTTTTTTTTCAAATGAACAGATAAATTGCAGCATAGGCATGAATGGCATTGCAGGGGAGGGAGGGAGTTCTCCATACAATGGTCCCCTGCATAAATAAATACAATTTATTTCCTCTGCAATCACTCCATTGCAGAGGAAATAAATAAATAAATGTTGTGGTTGCTTACCACTCTCAGTGCCCTATCTATTTAACTCTTCCTTCAAAGGAAGATGAATTGAATAATTAGTTTTCTAGGTGGAAGCCACTAGGAAATAAGTAAATCACAGCATTCCAGATGTTTAAAAAATTGTCATGTGCTCTTCTTGAAAACAGATGGGGTGGGGGAATAAGCAGTGACTTTCCCAGAGGCCTAAAAGCAGAAACATCTGTTAGGCTTAGTTTTCTTGGCCAAAGGCAGCAGAAGAAAAAGCTCAACTGATTAACTCTGTCCTTTATCTAACATGGTTTGGGAGTTAACAAAAATCCCATAAAGGGCTCCTAAGGACATTGACAGCATCATAGGCCTATCTGAAGTCTAGTAACTGGCAGATGGATTAGGCAGACATCAAAATTTCAGCATTTTATCTATTGCCTGGGTAGGGAAAAATACCTAAAGATGCATGTAGAATCTTTGAGAGCAAAGATCTGCTAACTATTCAAGAGAAAGATCTCTGCCTCATTATCTGTTGAAGTTGACAGATACTTGTAATTCAGAATATTTCTTATTATGTTCATGAAAGGGTTACACCTAAAGTAGATCCTCTCAGGGAAAGTCTTCTGAAAGATCACCAATGTCTGAAATTGTTTAAACACCGTCGTGTTTGTGGTATTAGTTGCATGCGATCCCATGCTCTTGTCCTCCAGGCACATATGACTCCACTCCAAACTTGGAGACTTCGGTGCATCCATTTCAGACAGCGTACAGGCCAAGCAATCTTTGCCACTACTTTACCTCACCTTGCTTCATGCATTTTTCTAGATGGGCCACACCAGGGATGGGAAGGAAAGGTGGTCGGGGACAGACCCTGCCTCCTCATCCTTGGCATTCCTTTTTTCTTCCTTTCAGGATGCAGGATTTGGGTGTTTGAACTCCAAAGAATCCTACAGTATTTACCCCCACAAGGACCTCAGGTCATCATAGGATGGTACCCTTTGATAATTTCATTTTACTTCCAACGTCTTTTTTTCCTGTATTTTAATAATGGTGTGCAGTTATAAAGATTAAATTAAGAGCTCTTCTGGGAGTGATTCAATCCCATTTCACTGCGCTGCCGTATGTCACAGGATCACTGCACTCACTTTTAGAAGGAACAAATTAGGAATGTGTGAGGAAGCAGCAGCATGGTAGAGGGAAAGACATTTCCGCACAAGCAGCACAAGACAAGATTTTTGTCTCGTCTGGATTAAGAGATGCCTGCTCACCTAATGCTCAACACAGTCTTAACCTGGGGTCCCCAACCTTTTGCGATTGGTGCACCCATATGAAATTTTGCAAGAATGCCATGGACACTCTTTCACAATGACTGCCATGAGGATGGCGTGTGCCCCATTCATAGCATGGCTGCCATAGTAGGCATGGCCAATCACAATGCACCCATTTCCCAGAAGGCAAACTGGTGAGACTAAAAGAGAAATAATTTACCCCTAAACCCTTGTACAAGGCAGAGTTAGGGACTAAGCTCTAGAATACAAACCCATACTTTTAAACACAACAATGGCACTGGAAGGCAGAATTTAGAAATAGAATTAAAATCAGGAAGGGCATAGTTTCCCAAAGTGTCCAGATACAGCACATTGGAAACCTCAGACTTCTCCAACCCAGTACCCTCTAGATATTTTGAAATCTCATCAGTTCTAGCCAGCAGGACCAACAGTCAGGGATCCTAGGAGCTGTAGTTCAAGAGTTTCTTAAAGGCACAAGATTGGGGAAGGGAGTTAAATATAAAAGTGGGCATCAGGGAATGCGCATTAGTGATCAAATGAATTTCAACACAGCAAAGAAGCATGCCTCTTGGTTCCTCCCATTCAAGGGAATTAAGAACATCTCGATTCTTTTCCTGCAACTCTGCTTTCCTGAAAGGATGGCTTGTGCATAACTTGTCCATGGGGAGTCATAATGTACCTATAGAAAATCATAAATGTGCTGTTTAAAAAAAACATAGATGTCTACTTATTTGTATGCCTTTCCTTGGAAAGGACTGGGAAAACAGTCAGGATTGAAGGGAAGATGAATGGAGCCACAAACAGGGCAACTGTAGAGGAAAACCCTTTTTGGTCTGGAAGGGAACTGAGACTGGCAGAAGGTCTCATTCCAGCAGGACAATGGTCCTCCACATGCAGCCAAAGTAACACTGGAGTGGTTTAAAAACAGTAACTCAATGACTTGGAATGAATGGCCCAGTAAAAGCCCGAACATGAATGCAACTGAGATTCTCTGGCAAGACCTGAAATCGCTGTTCACCAGTAGTCCCCATCTGGCCTGACAGAGCTGAGGCAGTTTGGTGTAGAACAAGCAAACGTTGCAGGATCCAGACTTGGAAAGCTGACTAACCCAGGACTCCCAGCTGTAATTGTTGCCAAAGGTGTTTCTACCAAACATTGGCTCAGGGGGTTGAATGCTTATGCAGCCAACAAGTGCCAGTTTGTTTTTGTTTTGTGCCATAATACAAAGATTTTGCACTTCCACAGGGTTACGTACCTTGTGTATGTAAGTGCTAACAATGCCAATTAAATCAATTTCTTTTTGAGGTTGCAGCACAACAAATGTGAAAAACTTGGGAGGGGGGATATTTCTGTATGTACCCATGCACAATTCCTTCTATTAGTGAACCAAGGAACAAGTATCGATAGAAATTCAGCTAATACAGGTTTTAGCATGTTTAGAGAAATGTCAAGCTTTGAAGAGGTAGAGAACATCTTAAATAAAAATCCTAAGAAAGCAATAAAAGCAAACCAAAAGTTCAATGAATGATTGTGCTCAGAAACCCTAGACTGTTGACTGTCTATTGGGGGGACAGGGCAGGGGGAGAACACTGCAGTTGAGCGAAGTCCGAGGGTTGTGTTGGAGCTCTCTGCAATGTATTGTATTCTAAGAAGGGCACAGCTGGCTAGAAATATGCTGGCACCTCCAGCCTGGAGGAGAGAACACGCTGCAACATTTCATTAGATTTGTCTGCCAACTGTAGTTAACATTCCATCAATATGACAAAGTGACAATCCATGAAAACACACACAAAAACAAATCTGTTATTATGTAAGGTGATAGAGGCACATAGGTAATAAAATATCTTAGGGTGCAAACTCATGCATGTTCAGCCAGAAAAAAAAGCCCTACAACCCACACTTCTAGCATTTCCTATGGCAGGGGAATGCTGGAAATTTTAGGCCTCTGTGTAAATATGCATAGGATTGCACTCTTAATTGTGTGTGTGTATGTGTTAGCATTACTACCAGTGGATCATGGTCTACCCATGCCTGGAATATTGGCTTGTCAACCAACAGCATAGGTGTCAAATGGCACAAGTTTGTGGGATACAATGATCTGGAAGAGTTTTGTGGTTTTGGGAGTCAGACTTGCTCTCCTAGTTATCTCATCCTATCCTGAGATAGTGCCAGTGTCCCAGCTAACACTAATAATGTATATCCTGCTTTTGTATTAAAAATACACAGAACAGGGAACACTCTAATAATAAAGCCCTATAAAATAATACAACTTTTTAAAATGTAGTAACAAAGAATATATAGAATACAAGAACTACTTAAGCAAAAACCTAACAGCAGCATATGAATATACAAATAATTACACTTCATTAGACCCAAAGCAAAATGGTGTCAGTAACTAGGTAGGTCCTTTTCATTCTGTAGTGGCATAGTTGGAGAGATCCAGGTTCAAATTCACTTTCTGCCATAAAGCCCACTTATGACCTTGGGCCAGTTATGTATCTGTCAAACTTATTTTATTTGTGAGGATAACACAGGGAGAGTAGACATACACAAGTATGAGCAACATAGAATCTGGATGAGATAAAACAGTAGTCAATAAGCCAATACCCATACTATTTACTATCGTATTTCATTGTTACCAGTATTAACATCTAAATTATTTCTCAAAACAATTTTGCCAAGCTGGTGTGCATTACAATTAAAGCACACAATCCTAGAATTTTTAAAACCTCACACAGAACATTTCAAAAACATACAGCAGCATTATATAGGTTATTATTTTTGACAGCCCATCACATTCATTCAAGTCGAATGTGGCATTATTACATTTCTAGCTCACCTTTTTGATACACGACAGTTATCACTGCACTCCATTATAGCTAATGTGAGCACTGAGCAAGTCAGAGCCAGCATGACCCAGCGGTTAGAGAGCTGGACCTGGGAGATCTGATTCTCCCGTGAAGCTTACTGGGTGACTTTGGCTCAGACTCTGTCAAGCAGCTGAACTACCTTAATCCATAATCTTCTTCTCCATTTCTATTCTCTAGGCTGAGAGGGAGAAGACCAAAATGGAGAGGAAACCTATGGAAGCCACCCTGCGTTCCTTGCAGAAGAAAAGGTGGGGCATCAATAGGGAAATAAATGAGACCTGCATAAATATAACAGTTGTTTCTTTCACTCCACGGGGAAAAAGACTGAAAGTCTTTTTTTTAAAGGAGACGTTCTCCTCCCGTCCTGAAAATGGCCCCAACACAGCCACTACGCCTCGCCTTCCGCAGACTCAGTAGAACTCCCAGCACTCAAGGGCGGAAGAACCGAGGATGGCGGCATCCGGAGGACGGTGGGCGGGCGAGGACAAACAAGCTAGAGCCACTAGCTACTCGAAACCCAAGGAAGGCGGGGCCATAGCGCTATCACGTGGTCTGCGCCCGCAGTATGGCTACAGAGGAAGTTGTCGCGGGGGGGAAAGCCGCGGCCAAGCCCCGGCGGCCGAGCCAGTACTTCATTTGCTCGTTCCCAGATTGCGACGCCACCTTCAACAAGGCCTGGAAGTTGGACGCGCACCTGTGCCGGCACACGGGAGAGGTGAACGGAGCGGCGAGGCGCGCCTGGCGGAGGGCGGGAGAGTGGCCATTGGGGTGCCGCTCGCGCGAGCGTGCCGTCGGAGCGACCAACCAGGCGTCGCGTGCGAGGCGAGGGGCGGAGACACCTCCTGGAGCATGGGCGGGGCCAACAGAGCGCGGCGACTCCCATTGGAGCGTGGGTCCGTTTCCAGCGGCTCGTCGTTGGCTGGAAACAAGCAGAATTGCGCAGGTTTTGTTTTCGAAACGGGTGTTTGTGCGAGCTGTGGGAACGCGCAGAGTGGGCGCCGTAAAGGAAACTCCAACGTAGGAATTCTCTACAGTGAGCAGCTGTCGGCTTCTCACTTTGCCAGGACTGACGGTTCTGCCATTTATTCTTGTAAGGCTCATGCGCCTCTCATAGCAGTAGGTTAGGCACACATTCCCCAGGTCAAGCCCTATCCGTTATTACGAGGGTGTGCAACATATGGGTTATGGGTCGCACGCAGCCTACCAGGATATTTGTGAAGGCAGCACCACTGGGCAGCTGCTGACCTTTCTGCATCTTTTTGCTGTGCAGATTAAACAGGGAGGGTACCAGTAGCAAAAGGCTGCTGTTGCTTTTGGTGCCAGCTTGCTCCAGTTCATCCTGAGTGCCAAGGGTATTCTTTAACAGCCGGATAAGTGGAGCTTACATGCAGTTAATAGACAATGCTAGCACTGGCCCTTCCCCGCTTCAGTGCTGCATTGATGCTGGACACTTGCACTACTATAATACTAGAAGCCAGCGTCATCCGATCAAGCTGGGTAATGGGCAAATCAGGACTGTTGTCTGTTTAGTCTGGCTGAAGTTTCCCAGGAAAGTCCAGAAGTGTATCTTCAAACAGGACACCATTTAACTATGGAATTTGCTGCCATGAGATGTAATAATGGCCAACAATTTGGGTGAGTTTAAAATGGGATTAGACAAAAGAGAGATGGATAAGGCTATCAGTGGCTATTCATCATGATGGCGATATTGGAAATGGTATTTTTTTTGCATGCCCATTACTGGGCATGTAAGCAGAAGGTTGCTGGTGCAATCAAGATCTACTTGCAGGCTTCTTGAGAACATGCTGGACTAGATGGTCTGCTTCCATAGGGTTCTTATGTCCAGCCAAGGTAACGCAATAAATACGACAACTCAGACCACAGATGCCAGGGAGTCAGTGACCCAATTCTTTCAAATGGCAGACGAGGGGATAATCTTCCATCTAGACTGTACCGTTTCCAATAGTTGAATGTGCTGGTTGTCATTGCACTTGTAGCACTTTGGTGTTTCCCAGAGACACCTGGCTAGCCAGTCTGGGTACACTGACTGGACCCAATAGAGTTGTGACTCTGAAGGTACTGAGGATGAGCTTCTCTGTGCAGGAGGGCTTTCAAGAAAGTAGTAGGACATGTAAGGAAATGACTAAATAAGTAATGATTTAATAAATCCACTGTCTTTTTTATCAGCGACCCTTTGTTTGTGAATATGAAGGCTGTGGTAAAGGTTTCACTAGAAGTTTCCATCTTAAGCGCCATTTTCTTACTCACACTGGGGAAAAGCAATATGTGTAAGTATATTGTTTGATGGGGCGAGGTAGGGAAGGTGGCTGGATTCTTCGAACAACATGATGTCTGATGCCTGATGAAACTGCATTCTATCATTTACAGGTTGTTGTTTGTTTTGCTGGCAAAAGGACAGGACTGATTGATGCAACCACATACACAAGTGCAGTGAAGCTGACAATTGTATATTTATGTAATGGGTCACACCATTTGCTTACTTAGTTGATTAAATGAAAGCCATCTACATTGGCTAAATGAGTACATTATAGAAAGTAGCTCATGGATGACCATGCTGGCTGGGAATTATAGGAATTTTGTCTAACAGCAAAGGGTACCAGGTGAGGGAAAGTTAATGGAAACCCTGAATACCATGCACTCTTTTAAAAGAAGTATTCTTTTACTTAGTCCCTCTCAGAAGAGTTCTCCTGAGAACTCAGGAGTTGCCTCTTGCAACTTAAAAGTGCAGCAACTAAGAACACAGAAAGCTTATCTTCAAAATTGTTACCTTTGCAAATGTTTGTATCTTTAATGGATTCCTCTAAAGTTGTATGATTATTTGAATAGGAATTTTGTAGTCACAGCATGGGTCTCTTGCACCTGCTCGTGGTCTTTCATCCTTGGTGAAATACATTTGTGTATTTGTAGGTGCACAGCAGATGGCTGCAATAAAAAATTCACAACTAAATCAAACTTGAACAAGCATGTTGGACGCATGCATCAACAGAGAAGATACGTAGTAAGTGGCTCTTTCTAGGCTATCTTACACTGAGCGTTAGGAAATTGTTCCTTGATCATGCGATCATATGGCCTCTGGCCTAGATGCATGTAAGCCTCCAACACTGAGATTTATGTGAATTCAAAGCAAGGTATGAGGCGTAATTGTGGCAGTCTTCACTGCCCCGCAGCTTGCATGCTGCATATCACTTGGACAGCCATTTTCAGCTGTCTAGTGAAACCTCTGCAGAAGAGGGAGGAGGAGAAGGCTGGGTCAGGTTTGATGTAATCCATTGACTCCACTCTCATCCCCGCCCACTCAGGTCACAGCCCTTTAGCTGTCTCTGATGCTGATTTGTGACCTCAGAGGCATTCAGCACAGTTATTTCCTCACCAGCTGTGAGGGCAACTGGATGGGGGTTCTCATTTAGTGTTCTACCTCTGAAGTTGGAAGACCTCAGAGTTGGGACTCTGAAAATCCTCCAGGCAAAGTCGGGAGGCCATAGGACTCTCCTCTTTATCAAATGTTCTGACAGTGTTGGTGTGTATTCTGCATGTCTAGGCTCTGATTCAGTATTGCAGACCAGTAAGCACATGGGGCATTCCCCATTGCCTGCCATGGTAGTGAAAGAAGCACAAAGTGCTTGGAGAGTTTGTCATACTAGCATTGATAGCCCAATCTGTACAGAGAACTCTGATCAAAGCCTGGCTGTATGCTGTGACATGAGTTGCCATCATTGGCTCAAGTGATGAACATAAAGGCCAGGAGTCTTTGTTTTTCCCCCAGCTTTGCCATGGATTCACCTGGTAACTCTTGGGCAAATCATAAAATGTGGTGTAGGCTAATGTTTGACATTACCTTGGTCTGTCTCTAACAGTAACTAATTTGATTTTCCAAACAGTGTGACTTTGAAAAATGTGGAAAATCTTTTAAAAAGCACCAGCAGTTAAAAATTCATCAGTCCCAACATACCGGTGAACCACGCTTCAAGTAGGTGAACCATCTAGTAACTCAGACTATTTACTTAGTAGTAATTATTTACTAACTCAGCAGTAACTCTAGTAAGACGTTGTTGTGCATGAGAAATAACTTCTTATATGAAGTAAAACCAGGTTTTCAGGGTGACTGTAGGGATGAATTAAAAATGATTATCTTGAAGAAAATAAATAGAAATGTGATTGAAGACCTGCAGTTACATCTGCCACAGATAAGCTTCACATAAAATGTGGCAGGAAATACTGGGAATTGCTCACATCTTGTTCTAGGGCCCGATTAGTAGTACCCTTTTAATTTCTTAGTAGGAAAACTAGTACCTTTGTAAGAGCGATATTTGGATAAATGTCTCCATGACACTCAGCTCAATCACTCTTTCACCCCTTCCTCTTCTGAAGCAAACCTACTTCATTGCTGCTTTGCAAATAATTCTCAGAAGTCTCAACCGTTAAGGTTAGCTTTGGGTTTACTTTTTCACAACATCCTGATTGTGTTTGGTCTTTTCTTTTTCTTTTCTTTCTGATGTAAAAATTGATTAAAACTCCTATCTTGACTATAGCCAAGAACATGTAATTCACACTTGCTCAGATTCATTATTACCAGCATCATTCTTGCTCTTTTTCTCCATCTTCTTTTCCCTTCTTTGTGGTCTGTTCCAGATAGCCTATAACTCTTCAGGAATGGAGACCTACCCCTTTTGCTTTTGCAAGTTGGTTAAATACTATTTATACTGGCACTGATTAAACTGAATAAAGTTCTTTTATTTTAATTTTACCAATTACTACTCAAGGCACTGATGCTGTGTGCTGAGAGACATTATGGAAGGCGTACCATAAAAATGTTGCATAAAAACAAAGGCAAGATTAAACCTCCTGGGAGAAAACCCTCCTCTTTGCAGAGTTGTTAAAGTGTCACTACAGCACCAGACCAATGGGGCAGGTGATGGTTGGAAGCAAGCAGAGAATTCAGTTAAAGGAGTTAATGAAGCTGCTTCACACTTCATCAGTTGTGATTTTTATTTCAGTGTTGAATGAGTGTGTTGTATTTTGTCATGTAGATGTAGTCATGAAGGATGTGGAAAGCATTTTTCTAGCCCAAGCCGTCTAAAGCGTCATGAGAAGATTCATGAAGGTAATTACTTCTCTTGCTGCAGCCATGCCAAAATAATTAAAAAGTGGATGGGTGGCAGGTGCACAGAGTAGGACAAAAAGTATGTGCCAAATGGTAGAAAGAAAGACTCAAAATACAGTTGTTTTAATTTGAAGTGCAAAGTGGAGCATTATAAATCATTCTAGATTTTAATTATGAGTTTAGATGGAAGGGTCAAACAAGATTTGTGGGGCTTAAATCTGATCAAGCCCAACCACATGGCAGGCAGTGTGTGAAAATTCAGCAGTTGAAGAACTGTAGAAGCAGAGGTGTGTGCTAGTCTTTTCAAGCCTACATTACATGATTTAAGATCTTGGTTTTCCCTTTTTTAACATTATAAATTACAGTGTTCCTTTTAAAGAAAGCTTGTCAGGAAGAGGCAAACAGTCAAGGATCATGTAGAATAAGTTAATCATGTAGAATAAGTTCAAATCTCCATGGCCTGATAAACTCCATCTTAGAGTCATAAAGGAGCTAGCAGAACTCTCAGAACCACTTCTGTTATCTCTGAGAAATCATGGAGGACAGGGGAAGTTCCAGATGACTGGAGAAAGGTTAATGTTGACCCTGTCTTAAAGAAAGGCAAAAAAGCAGAACCTGGGAAATATACACCAGTCAGTCTGACAACAATCCCTGGGAAAATTATGGAGCAGAAAGCAGTCCATCTGCAAACACCTTAAAGCAATGCAGGGATTACTAGAAGCCAACATGGGTTTCTCAAGAACAAATCCAGCCAGACTAACTTGATTTCATTTTTTAATTGGATAACTTCCCTGATGGACTGTGGGAATGCTGTGGACATAATCTGTCTTGACTTCAGCAAAGCTTTGGACAAAGTGTCCCATGATATCCTGATTAGCAAGCTAACAAAAAGTGGGCTAGATTGGAACAATGATCAAGTGAATTCACAGTTGGCTACAGAACTGGACTGGAAGAGTGCTCATCAATGGCACCTTCTCAAACTGGGGAGAGGTAATGAGTGGGGTACCACAGGGCTCATTATTCTTCAACATTTTAACAAATGATTTGGATGAGGAAGTACAGGGAATGCTTATTGAATTTGCAGATGACACAAAACTGGGTGGGATAGCTAATACCCTGGAAGACAGAAACAAAATTTGAAGTGATCTCGATAGGTTGGAGCGCTGGGCTGAAAACAACAGAATGAAATTTATCAGGGACAAATGCCAAGTTCTGCACCTAGGAAAAAGAAACCAAATGCATAATTACAAGATGGGGAATATTTGGCATTTGACAATACAGCAAGTGGATCCTGAAATTGTTTTAGATCACACACTGTTTTAGGCTGCATTAATAGAAGTATCACTTCTAAATCCTGTGAAGTACTAGTTCCCCTTTATTCAGCACTGGTTAAGCCTCATCTGGAGTACTGTGCCTGGTTCTGGGCATCTCAGTTTAAGAAAGATGCAGACAAGCTGGAAAGGGTCCAGAGGAGGGCAACAAGGATGATCCAGGGACTGGAAACAAAATCCTGTGAGGAGATATTGAATGAACTGGGCATGTTTAACTTCAAGAAGAGAAAACCTAGAGGAAATACGATAGCATTCTTCAAATACTTGAAAGGTGAGTGCAGGACATGGAATAATGGGCTGAAGTTACAGGAAGCCAGTTTCTAGCTTAAGCATCAGAAAAAACTCCCTCACTATTAGAGCAGGATGACAATGGAACCAATTACTTGGGAGGTCATGGGATCTCCTGCACTAGAGGTATTCAAGAGGCAGCTGGTCAGCCATCTGAGAGGGATGGTTTGACTTGGAGTCCTGCACTGAGCAGGGGGTTGGACCTGATGGCCTTCTCGGCCCTTCCGAGTTTACTGTACTATGATTTGCCCTACTATATTGGAAACCTGAAAATGGCGCAGTGGATTCACTCTTTCTAGATAGCAGGAACTAGGCAGCAAGTGGCAGGAGCTGCCACACGGAAGGGGACCATATGGTTGAATTTGCTTAAGGCTGTTAAGCTTCATGTTGGTTTTATAATAGGCTATGCATGCAGAAAGGATGACTGTTCATTTGTCGGAAAAACCTGGTCAGAGCTTCTGAAACATAGGAAGCAGAGTCACGCAGGTAAGTAACATGCATTACTCAAAGCATTTGTAAAGCAATCCAGATATTTAAAAACCGTAGGTTGCTTTCACATGGCATGTTTTGGCTATTGGGCAGTATAAAAATACAGTAAACAATAAGGTTAATAACGTCAGGCACATCTCTTCCAATCGTTTGCTTGCTTCATGGTAAATGAGTAATAAATGAATAAAGCCTAGTAACAGTCAGTTCTACACCATGCTTGTGTTCTGAATGTTTCACACAGGTATGGATTTGTTACATGTACACTGAGCTGATGTAGCTCTTCGTAGTGTGGAAGGCTATGCTAAATCTAAGTATTGTCATTGTTGCAGTTGCGGTGTGGAGGTCTGAGATGCTGAGAAAGCACTTTGCTTGAGGCCACTCAGGGAGCTCCTAGCAGAGGTGACCTTGGAACCAGGCAGTGTTTGATTCACACCTCATGCTTTTTTTTTTTTTTTTTTAAGAACAGATTAGCTGTTGCATTTTGGGTGCAAGGAATAGATGTTTAAATACTCTTCATAGAGGACAAGGTTATCAATGGCTGCTAGTCATGATAGCATAGAATATCTCCCTTCAGCTTCATTGGATGACCCCGAGTTCTAGTATTGTGAAAAGTGGGAGAAAAACTTCTTTGCAATGGACAAAAGTAGGAAATAGAAACCTTTTTAAGAACACTAGAGGACATTTTGGTGCCAGAGGCAAAGCATAAAATGGCGCACCTCCCATTCCATGTGCAAAAGCAGTTGAATGTAACCTCAGTACTGGCAGTGGGGCAGCATTTGCTACGATACGTGAAGACAGCAGGCTAACTTTAATGGTGTGGGGCAGACTGTGTGTGAGACATAGAAATCTTTTCTTCCAAAACCAGGCTACCGTTCCCTGCTTCCTGGTATGTGTTAGCCGAGTCAGCTGCTTCCTTCTACCTAATGGTGGGTCCATCCATGGAAGACTGTGCAGTCTTGATGGATGTGCAGTGGCAACAATACTCCAGTGCTTAGCATACAAATAGTTCTTTGCCTTGGGATGAATTAGGACTGCTGCTAAATTCTGCCAAGATGCTCTGTTGTCACCAGACCTGTGCCAGTGTTTTTTTTTTCTTCCCACATCTCTAGAACCGCTCATCTGTAACGTGTGTTCCAAAAAATTTAGCTGCAAAGGGTACCTCAAATCCCACCTGAAAATTCATGCTCCCAACAGAGAGATACTTAAATGCCCAAGGGAGGGCTGTGAAAGAACATACACAACAGTATTCAATCTTCAGAGCCACATTATCTCATTTCACGAGGCAAAAAGACCATTCATGTGTGAGCACCCTGGCTGTGGAAGAGTCTTTGCAATCAAGGTAGGTGGTTCTTCAGCTACCTTTGAATGTACATTTTTCTTCCCATTTTTGAGCCCTATATAATCTAACTCCTGTTCTTCACAGCAGAGTCTTGTAAGGCATGCTGCTGTGCATGATCCTAAGAGGAGAAAGCTGATCTCTGAAGTAAGTCAAATTCTTGAACGCTCCTGTTTTAGTAACACTGTGAAGTTGCAGTCAGTTAGCAGCATTTGAATGTGACTTGTAGGACTTTTGAGTGGGATTTGGACGCAGGCATGAAGAGACTGGGAGAACCTGTGAAGATCCACAGAGCTTGGTGGTAGTTTGGTTTAAGCCATTTTAATCAGTATCTGGAATCAGCAAAACAATTAATATGATTTAGATTATTGATCCAAGTTTTCTGCTTGGACTTTTTCATGCACTTCCTAAACAGTGGTGCAGACTGACCACCAAACAATGTTAATCTTCATTTGCATAAATTATATGTGGTTTCATTCTTGCAACCAGGACTTTCATCTATTTGTCACAACATAAACCTTTTGCCTGTTTTCTTTTTGAAACCTATAGCAGGACTGTCCTTGGAAGTATTCTCATGTCGGGTCTTTCTTGTGTCTAGCAGTCATGATGGTTTGTCAGGTTTTCATGGGAGGGAAAAGTGCATTCAGCAGAATGTGCTTACAGTCCCCCTGCCAAACCATCATGCTCTACACAAAAAGAACCACAACAGAATGCGTGTAGGGGCACACTTACGTGCTCATTCCTGTGTGTGTCTGTGTGTAAGCTGCAAAGGGCTCTGACAAGAAATCCACCGATGTGAAAATGCATCTAGCTTACTCCTGTTTTAGGCATTCCTTTTTTAGGCAGATCGTTGGTTAACAGAACTGGGGATCTATGTTAGAATGAAATATCCATCAGAGGGTGGAAATGGAGGTACAGTTAAGAAGGGGCAGCACTGTGTGTGTGTGTACATATATGACTACAGTGAGCACAGCTTCCAAGACAGAGTGATCTGTGAGATGCTTGGAGGCACCTTGAAGGTACAGGGTGCCTTTTTGGAGACTGGATGTGAAGTAGCATATCTATTTGCTTGTAGGAGTGCCTGGCAGTTTTCATGTATGCTCTATTTGTGTATTTGTAAACAAGCAAAAATAACATAAGCCACTGAAGGAAGCCAAAGCTGGCAGTGCCACCCCTATTTCCCATAAGCTAGTTCCCAAGAACAGTGCAGTTATAAGTATGTACAGCAATTTATATATACTGGCTCAGAATTCTTTTGATATAACAAGTCAGACTTTAAGCACAAAATCTGTGTCACGATACTTGTTTCCCAAGGTTAAAAAACCACGTCCTAAGAGGAGTCTGGCTTCTCGCCTCAGTGGATTCATTCCACCTAAAGCACCAGGAAGAAATGTCTTGCCAGTGGGTGAAACTCCTACCCTGCCTGCAATGGAAAGCACACTGCCAACAGTGGAAACACTAACCCTTGCCTAGTTGCACAGGACCCTGCGTCATGGTTTCATGTGCAAGAAGTTGAAAGTTTTCTCAGATGACCAATACTGGCAAGTTTATGGGAACAATACAGAAAACTGGAGTGGTGTCAGAGCAAATTTGAATTATTTTTCTATATTGTAATTTTTAAAAGTCACTGATTGAGAGCATCTGAGTCAAGAACATCCTTCTTGTCGTCCTGATGAACTTCTTTGTCCTTCTGCTTTTTTTTGTATACCTGGATTTCTTTGTCGGACATGTGTCTCAACGCACATTTACTTCTTCCTTCTTTAATAATGCAGGGCTGAGAAAGGTAGGTAGCTTTCCCAGGCATTGTATCCAAAATCTGATCAAACAGTGCAAACTGAAAAGGAGATAAATCATTATGAACGTATTATTTGAGTCTTTTTAGGTTTAACTGTAAAGATATGATCAATAAATCTACAAAGCCACAGAATACTGCTACAGTACCTTTTAAATCAATGTAACAGGTAGTGAGGGACAGGAAGATAAAGTTGTTTTAAGATCTAATTGTTGAGACAGGCATGTTTACCTTGCATATTAATACAGTGCCCTTCACAGCAAATTGGGTGGGGGCTTTCCAGCTACCTTGTTATTATGTACTCTTAATCTTCCTAGCAATCTGTCTTTCCACAGATGCCACTTCACTTTCAGGACGTTGGCTTTGGTTCAGAGATTTCCAGTTTCTGACCTATCATATCTCAAGTGTTTCTAGCTACCAAACTAGTATATGTTATCTCTGAAGTTAATGGGTTTACTACAAGGCATAATGTGGAATAGATTGTAGCCAAAATTTGAATCGGTGGGAAGGACAGCCTTCCTCAACCTGCTGCCATTCATGTGTGTTGGACTGCAGCTACTACAAGTCTCAGCCGACAGCCTCAGTGGGTTTGCAGTCCAAGACACCTGGGAGACAGCAAGCTGGGGAAGGTTTGTATAGAAGAATTAACATCAGAATATCTGGCATTAGACACTATTAAGAGTATTTTACTAATAGTCATGGGTAGGAAGAGCTATTTTCAGTCTCATGACAGTATCTGGAAAATTAAGATGACTCCAAATTGGTCCTTACAGTAGATCGAGTCAGACTAAACAGTAATTCATCATACTGGACCACTACAAAATATTGTTACTATATTACCATTTTTTCTGGTCCATCGGTTGTCTTCCTTTGCTGCAGTATAATTTTGACATGATGCCTTTTGTCAATCCATTGCTGAATTTGTTTTATCTTTGTAGACAAATCGTGCTGCGCAATCTCTGTAGAAAGAACCACCTGCTTCTGTTGAACAGGGCCTATTAAAATACAAATGAGTTTGTAAGGTTTGTTCTGTTCCAGATGAGCTCCATTCAGTTCTTAAATGTGTGCGCTTGGGAGTAGCACCATGAAGATCATGGGAAGAAAATATCTTACAGCTGTATCCAATTGCGTCATTGTGCTAGTGGGAGGGAACTGCTGGTAGAACAGGCTTACTCAACACCCACCCCCACGCCCCCTTAACTGGTTCTTGCAAGACCCTCCAGAGCAGATCTGAGGGCAGGGGAGTCCCCTTAGGTGAGCAGATGTCTGTCTGTACAAGTGCTGGATTCTACCCATAATTAGCTTATTTCTGAAAAGTTCTCCTCCATTTATGTCCTTGAAAGGACAAAAAATGTTGGAAAAAAGCTGCTCTCTCTCTACATGAAACAAGTTTAGTAGCAGAGTGTACCTGCTTGGTCTCAAGGCTTATCTTTCTGCAACTAAGAAACTGGTAAGAGCCATTATTTAATTCTTTCAGAGCATGGCCTACAGGTGGAGGGTATCTGGACCTCTATTCAAGGAAGGATAAGGAAGGCTGTTTTTTAGCTGATGATGGAATTGTGCTTTCTGTGACAGATTCAGGTTGGAGAGAGCATGCTGGGATCCAGGAGACGCAAGTCCTTTTATTGGCACTGCTGGCACTTGCATTGATTTGCCATCAAGGTTACCAATCACAAGCATACTTCATCACAGAGATTAAGGAAGATAATGCCACCTCTGTCCTTTCCTGAGAGCTGAGTTCTGTCTGCCCTGGTTCATGTGATCAGGGCAGCCCACCATGGCTTATTTAAACAACCCACAGACTCTCTGTGACTTGGAATATTCCAAGGTGTGTCCAGCACGTGCTGCAAGCCACCAAGACTTCTTATTAAAGGGGTTGCTGTGGCTTACCATGTTGTGTGAACTCAGCAGGCCTGAGTTGTTGGAGTGATTATCAAACCACTCACAACTTGGAAACAGCCCATGGATTGTTCAAATAAGCCATAGCAGGCTATCCCGATCTTACGAACCTGTCCAGCTTATCAGTGTAGTTACATTCCCCTACTTTGGCTGGAACAGGAAAATAATTCTTTTCGTTTCTGCCTTAACATACCTCTGAGCAACCACGGACAAGCCACAATGCTAACTAGTGGGAAAAGATTAAATTTACTGACATGGCTTGACATCATGTTCTGTGTCAAGAAAGAGGAAACAATCCTTGGTAACATCCAGCCTGTGTTACTTGTATGTTCATCACACAGCAGAACTTAGATCTAACGAAGTATCTGAGGCTTCAATCCTAGAACTCAGTGAGTAGGTAAGTATAACTTTGCACTCCACCTGTCCTTATGTGTTACTGTGTCAGCCTCCAAGTGGTGGATCAGGATACCCCAAACTCAGGCCATCTTAATAGCACCTCCCACCGTTTATTCTAATACAGTGGTAGGGTAGACGGAAAGAAATGATTATTTTCCTTACAAAGAGTAAAAACCAAACGCTCCTAGATCTGCTGTTTTTGTTTTTACATTACTGAGTGTTCAGAACATGGAAAAGGGAGACAGTTCTGTGGCATAAAGTACATTGGTGTGGCAAGGCTGGATTTAGACAGAAAACCCGCCTCAGCACAAAAGCTCTGCTGGATCAGACCAAGGTCCGTCTAGTCCAGCATTCTGTTCTGGACCAAGCAGCTGCCCATAGGAAACCCACAAGCAGCACACGAGTGCAATAGTACCTTTCTGCCCACGTTCCCTATCCTGCCTCTGATATTGGAGGTAGCAAATAGCCACCAGGTCTCACAGCCCTGATATAGCCTCCTGCATGAATCCGCTGGTCTGCTTTTAAAGCCCTCCAAACTGATGGCCATCAGCAGAATTTTGGAAGTGAATTTAACTATATGCTGTATGAAGACGTATTTCATTTTATCTTCTGTCCCCAATCTCCCACCAATCAGCTGCTTGGGATGATCCTGGGTTCAAGTATTATGAGGGAGAAAAATGTATTCTTACACACTTTAACCACAGTATGTGCAATTTTGTACACTATCTCTCCTTGCAACAAGGCATCAGCTATGGAACTATCCCAGTTTGGCGGAAGAGGCTATATTGTTTTCCACTATATAGTATGTACCAAATGAGTCAACACTTATGCATTTGCAAAGACTAGCTTGGTAAATATCCTTCTCTTTTGTACATGCATAAACACTACATATTCATCTTGTTTTAGAGATTCCTAATAGCTCCTCTTTGAAGCAGGGCCAGCAGTGAAGCAGTGATCTGAATGCCAACAGCTTTCACAAGCATGAATGAACAATGAGCACAAAGCTTTCAAGAAGTCTGAACACATTCTTATTTGTGTTTAATGAACACTGTTAAGCTGTAAGAGGCATTACTGTGTAGAGATACATGCAACTGCTCCTTTGGGAGAGGATAATCACCTCAAACATTTCAAGAGTACTAAGCTATTCAATATTTCTATCACAATGGTAAAAGGGGTAGCAATATTTTGGGTTAAGTAAAAGTGCTAACTGACCAGTCTATTATGGTGAATCAATAGAAAATTCAATTTCATTTTTTGAAGTGGGGTTACCGCTTATGGTTTATGCGGACATGTAACTACATTCACATTTCCTACATTTTTCGGCTTGCCTGGTTCACATGTAATGCCAACCCACGGTGTGTTCAAACCCAGAATTTATTTGGCAGTCAGTGGCATGTTTCTCTAATCCATAGGTTGTCTGTTTCACTCCTTGTCAGACCCCCTCCGAATGCCCTTCCTACAAAGTGCTGCTGGACTCTTACTGTAAAGGAGCAAGTGACAGTGGAGGCTTTCTTTTTGCGCCTCTGTCCATCCAAAAGGCAAATTAGTTGCATCTAGTGGTTGTATTAGCTGCATCTGAAAAATCAATTGCTGTGGGTAACAATGGAAAGCAAGGCAGGCTTGGAATTGCTTGACCCCTTGATTATTCCCTATGCCTCCCATATACCCATTTTCCAACATCATAGAAGGAGCCACTGTAAAAGTCTCCACAGTGGCTGGGAGCAACGAGAAGCAGGACTTCAGTGGTAGAAAAATTGTCCATGGTTGGACTTCAGAAAGTTTATTTCTAAGCAGTCCTATGGTCCCCAAGATGCTATCTAGGTACCACAGGATTGCTCTCCAAAGCATTTCATATATGAGTGCTAGAAATCCACTTCATTAACAATAAAAATAAATAACATTTTAAAAATAAATAACCCAGAAGATCATTTTATGCCTTCAGAGAATGCAAGCAGTTCTGCTAGCTTGATTCTCTTTGCATGGCCAAGAGCTGATAATCAAGTTGAATATGTAGTTATCTATGGGCATATAGTTACAGGCTTTTTAAAATATAACTAGAAATCTCTTCTGCCACTATCACCAGAAGACAGTGTCAGTTGACCATTTTATTCTACACTTACACACAGAAAGAAACTGAAGAAGTTACTTCAATTGGTGTGCAAAAGATGACCTTTCAGAATTACAGACTCTTTAACAAGCACTATACATACCCCCTCTGGGATCAGCTTTCTGTTTTTCTCTAAGTTTCATGCGTTCTTCATGAATCTGCTGCCCAGTCATTAGTCTATACACAGGAGGGTCTGCCTTCTGGTTCATTAGAACAAGCTTCATCCCCCTCTCTTCCAAGATTTGAATCACATCAGATCTGTGCATTGTCCCCTGATTGTTGCCATTCTCATCAATCAGATGTATAATCTGATGTGGAATTTTCCTCCCCACATTTTCAAAGGGTTTTTTTGCATTGTGATTTATTTTCATTCCTGTTAGTTTGGCACCTTCATCTGTAGCAAAAGCTTGTGTGGGGACAAGGAGAGGTTCTTTTTTAGCATGCTGTCTTGTTAACCCCATCTGAGACAGTGATGTCCTTTGCAGTGGTGGCACCAAGTAACTGGCAAAACATCTGGTGAAGTAGTTTGTGTCCTTCCTTCCAGCCTGCTCCAGTAGTTTCTTCAGGCACAAATTAGCCATTCTGGGAATACTAGAAAAATTGGTGAAAAAATGACATTGCAAGAATAAACACAAGCAGGAAGATTCTCAATGGAAACCATCGTGGTTGCTTACAACCATGTACCCTTTCCTACACATTTATACAAATATATTTTAATATGTGCAAGATCATCTTCAATTTTTTCTTTTATAAAATAGAGAAAGATATAAATTAAAAGTGATACATGTAAATAATCAGCACACAGGGAACCTTGAGCAAGAAATACACGTCAAACTTCCACATATTAAAAAGCAATCTGCAATTACAGGTCATGCAGTGCCAAAGGTCATATTAGTTGTGTGAATGTCATATTTGCTTCATATTCTTTGTGTAAATATGCCAATGCAATTTGCCAGTAAGATACAATGTATATGCATTGCACATGTGTACATACACACAAACAAACATATAATGCTTGCATCCCTTATGAAAATAGCAGAACATAATGAAACAGGAAGGACTATAAATGCAACTAGTGCTGGGATTATATATGCACTCATCCATTCTGCATTCTTGTGTGTGATGCAGCATTCCCAGCAAAATGTCTACCCATTTTTCAACCATTTATGAAACTTAGTATTTCTGAACTCCATGCATATCTGTAGTTCACCAGATGTACTTCTCTGGGGTGAGGAGGAAAAGCATAATAAAGATATAAATAAAAGAAAAAATTATCCTCTCAAAGCACTAAAACAAAGGCCATCCAATGAAAATAGCTGTAAAAAGGATAAACCCAGAGAAGGATTGCAGGCAACACATAATTAAGTTACAAAATTGTTTGGAAGGTCATGGTAGCTTTTTTGACAGAAATATTCTACAACTCCTGGCAAATGCAGGACTTCTTTCTGTGCAAACGCTGCACCTATATGGATTGATTCAGATATTTACAGGCCACCTTTCTGGAACACCCAAGGTAGCAAACCAAGTACAAGTTTAAAAATAAAATATAATTAAAATTCAATATAAAATTCATTCAATATAATTCTATCAATATTTTCAAAAAGTTCAGAGCAGATCAACAAAATAAGCATGACAAATAAAATGCCCTGATTATAAGTAATTTGAGAGATTTGTACAGCCTTGTCAAATATTGCAGCTATGAAGGCCAATCACACACAGATCCTTGGTCAATCAGTAGCTATTACCTAGAGCTAAGAATGGAACTTTGCTCAAAGTATTCCCTGCCTGTGGAATTCTGAGGGTATTGTTATTTATTTCATTTCTATGCTACCTTCTATGGAAGCTCTGCAGAAGCAATAGGTGATGGGTATCTCTCCATGAGCTCCTGAACGTCATACGTGCTGTTCTTAAAAATTGTGCTGAACCTTTGGTCTGATCCAAGGAAGCATTTCTACTGTTTGTAGGTCCTTCGTTTTAAAGCAGTCTTTGACAATGTAATGCCCTCCACATACATTGGACGTGAGCTACCATCAGTTCTAGCCCACAGGTGAGTTTGTCAGAAATGCTAGGAACTACGGTTCTCCTAGCATATGTATATCTGTGGGGACAGCTGTTCTAAAGCAGTGACTATGCAGATGTTAAGCTTCCCAATTCCATTCATCCTAGCAGCTAACATAACTAATGAAGGGGTGCCCAACCTTGTCCTAAAGGACAAACACTACTACCGTGTTTCTCCGAAAATAAGACTGGGTCTTATATTAATTTTTGCTCCAAAAGACTCACTATTTTTTCATGTACAACAATCCACATTTATTCATGTGCAAAAATCTACATTTATTCAAATATAATCATGTCATCTTCTTCTGGAACATTGTTGTAACTCTCCAAACCCTAAATTGTGTTACAATGGATGTACTAAATAGGTCCGTCTGGCTGATGATCTTAAGTGGGGCTTATTTTTGAGGTAGGGCTTATATTACGAGCATCCTGGAAAAATCATGCTAGGACTTATTTTCCAGTTAGGCCTTACTTTTGGGGAAGCAGGGTAGCTGGTGAAAATGGCATCAAGAGGAAAATGCATTCAAAGGAGTGTAACAGATTATTGCAATGAATGATGTCAGATCACTGCTTCCTTGAAAGCAATTCAACTTGAAACTGCAAAAGTTATAGTGGCAGTAGCTCTGCATGCAACAAGTGTCTACATTCATCAGCTAGGAAAGGAACAGCAGGGAGCAGATTATTTTACCCTGGAGAGTGGGATAAAAATATTGCACATTGTAAATAATCCAGACTTTCAAATAAATCCACAAAAGATAACACTTTCACCTACAGATATGTTTTGGCAACTATTTTTTAAATCCCACAAGTTGTCTAGTTGCAGAGATATGGTCTCTATACATGACCAGTAATGACAGCTATTTACAAGCCTGAGCTAAAGATAACACACAAACAGGACACAGAGGCTCTTACCACTAAGAATTAAGAGGCACCTATTCCATCTATTTTTCCTTAGTGCAATTTTTATCCAAGAAAAAAGCAGCAGTGGGGGGGAATTACAAGCAGAAGATGTCTGCATCTGGATCCTGTGCAAAATTCCATGAATGGCACAGTTCAAATACATCCTAACACCCTTGTCTGAAAACACCCACAATCTATGTTTGTTTCACTACAGTGGGGCGGAGCCTTGCAGACTCCAGTTCTTCCCAATCTTTATTCACAAGAGCAACAGAATGTGTCAGGTGTTGACCCAAGGTGGTAGCATTCTGTAGGTAGGAATTAACACAGAACCTGCATGCCAATCCTTATACAGAGTCTGTGGCATAGCAGTCAGTGTTGGCCTGGGACTTGAGTGATCTGGGTTCAAGTCCCATTCACCCATGAAGATCTTCAGGTGACTGGGCCAGTCACAGACTCTCTGCTTACTTTACAGGGTTGCTGTATAGATAAAATGGAGGAGGACAATCAAATACATAACACCTGCAAATAGATGCATCTCACTTGATGTGGCCTGGCATTTTTGCGCTTTTAAAAACTAAATGCCTTGTCTCAGTAAACCGATCAGTAGCATCACATTCCATAGAGGTTCTGCATTTCTTACACACAGATCACTTCCTTTTCGGTTCTTTTTTTGAAAGACGTACTAGAGCTTGGAGCACTCCGCCCTTGGATTGAGACATTTCAATCCAAGCGCGGGCTATCACTGAAACAAAGGCTCGGCCTACGCCCTGCCTCCACGCCAGCTTCGCCCCTTCAGACTGCGGCCCGTCAAGGGGGGGCTGCGCGGCGGGAAGCATAGACGTCTCTGCAAAACATTTCCTCAGCTTACCAGCCCGAGCAGCCCCGCGACAGACGAAGGAAGACGACGCTCGGCCTGAGAGGAAGAGGAGGTGCTCGCAGAGGAAACGGGGCGGGGATAGGGCCATGTAAACTACCCCGAGCTGGCTGAGTACGTGAGGAAGCGAAGGCGGGGAGCCTTAAAGGAAGCGCTTCGAGGGGCTGTCCCGCGTCCCGCGAACCTGCCTCTCTGCGTGCGCGGCACGGGGGTGCGGGAGCTGCAGCGCGCTCTCAGCTTGCCAGCGCGCTGCTCCCCGCGACCCGGGCGTGTGAATTGAAAAGCGCGTTCTTAATCCGCTGGTAATGGCAAGCGAACTTCGACGGTACAAATACAAGGCTTCAAATGTTTGTCTAGCAGCTCTTGCTTTTCATTTTGGGTCTAGAGTAGGCAACGACACTCATCTTAATTACCTCCCCACCACGCCTTCTCCGAGGTAGCATTAAGAACAAAACGAAGGTATAGGTTCTAGCACCTTTAAGGGACAATCCTATGCTTGTTTAGACGGGGGGGAAAATACTGCAATTCGCAGCATTTCTCAGCTAGCTGGAACTTTTATAGGACTTTTTTCTGTCTACACGTGCATAGGATTGTGCTCTTAAAGACATGTTTTGATCCTGTATTTCCTTGGGTAGGGGTTGCTTCTAAATGTGACTTCATGCCAGAAGGGAGTTCATATGTCATTTCTTCCCTTTGGAACTCTTCTTGTCCTATCACTTGTTCTGCATTGCTTAACTCCAGAACCAGGAAAGATTTGCCCTCTGCATGTTGCCTTTCCTTTGTTAGCTCTAGGAGCTCTCCAGAAAGCACCCAGGACTTTGCTTTATGTCAAGTTTGACACATGGTGGAAAAGATTGCACAACCATGTTGCTTAATATGTTGAAAGAAAACTCTTTCTTGCCCTTTCAGAAAAATCTGGAAAACCAGTGGAGCAGAGTGCCCTTCCATGCAGAAAATCTGTCCACCTGCACTTTGCGCCATCTCTTCTAAGCTTTGCAAAAGCTCATCCTCTCTGCATCCCACAGCAAGAAGGATCAGGTCCACAATCGGAGGCAATGATCTTTTGCCTCTGCCTGCTGGTGTATCCCTCACTCTGGGCAGGGCAGGATGGAGTCCAGGGATCCGGAGGAGCCTGCTCACTTCATCCTCTCACCCTCCTGCATACAGTCTCTGTCTCTCAATCTGAGCAGCGTTGAGAGGGAAATGGGGCTCAGTTGTCCACATGTTGTACACGATAGAATGAGTGGCTGCTCTTTGCTTCCTCCTCTCCCCACACCCAGAGCGAGTGAGCAGGTCACCACCCTTGCCTTAATTTATTCTGTGTATTTTTAGGATGCTTACAAAGCAGCACAAACACAACATGACAACAGAAGCAAATACAAAAAGCCAGCATGACCGCAGTGTAATGCAGTGCCTGCTGCTCCCTCCCTCTGGATGGCTGTACTATGTCCCATCCTGCAGGGACAGGATTCACTAGCAGGTAGCACAAAGCCGAGGGGAGCACAAGGGAGCCATGGGAAGACATTGGCAGCCATCACTTGTCTGGTCAGTAACTCGGTGCTTTGCAAGCAATACCTCCCAGATTCAATCCCTGGCAACTGCAGCTATGGCTGGGAAAGAATCATGCCTGAACCTCGAGAGAGCTGCTGCTGGTCAGTGCTGACGATACTAAATTTTTCTGAGGTAGTCTGTGGCGGGAGCCTGTGTCCCTAATTCTTGCCCATGACAGACAAGGAGGCAGCAGCTGCTCCTCGCAAGCCAGGCATTCCTTCTCCCTGAACGGCAGGGAAGATTTGGTTCAATGGGCAGAGCAAGGCCAGGCAAGCCTCACAATCAGGGTGCCACCACTGAAAAGGCCCTCTGTAGTAACCACGTGCCTGCCTTCATTCGGCTGTGAGACCCAGAGAAAGGCCTTAGACAATGATCTTCATATCTGTGATACAGAGGGAAGTGTTTTTGTCTATGTGAGGCAAAATAAACAGTTTTATTTTTATACTGACAAAATATTTACCCATGCATGCAGGAAGTCCCAGTGAGTACAACAGTTCCACTACTTATATGTTTCAGGGTTTTTAAAGTCAACACACAAATGTCTACTACTTTAAAAGATCACAATAAGTGGGGGAAGATTTATGTGTCAACGCCCAACAAAATGAAGCTTCAAAAAAAATTCAGAGATGACTTTAATGAATGTTTTAAAAATGCTCAGAGGAAACACATGCCATCAAAATGCTGCCCAGAAGTTGAATTGAATGGTAATGCTAAAATCTGGTAGTAAATAGATAAAGTAAACAACAAACCTTGCCTGGTGTAAGCAGTGTATTAAATGTCTAGTTAAACATGTCCTGTGCATGGTGCTGGCCTTTCCGTTGTACATCTGAGACATTGTTCCATAGCATTTGCGAGTTGCTGGGTTCAGCTGCAAAGTTTCTGAAAGCTGCTTTGTTGGCAGCCTAGGACACATCCGTGACCTTATTAAAAGGGAAGTGAATGCTCTCCCTTTTTTTTGCAACAGTAAATCTACCAATTTTACAGTCAGTTGAACAGCAATAGATTAATTTGTTTAAAGTCTGCCTTCACAAAGCAAATGCAAACTTCGTTGCCTTGAATACCCTAAACTACAGTGTAGATTTTTTTTTCTCAGCTCCCCCAATTGGAAGGGTACACACTATTACAGCTTGTCCTAGAATGGTCCAGGCAGTTCACTGTCACCTGCTTCTCAGCACAGGTGCTGACCCCTTTCTCTATTCTGTACCTCCTGACTGACTAACAACGAGCTCCAGCCATTGTGTGCAACAGAGAATGCTTTCCAAGTGACTGGACCAGTTTTCTTCAGCAAGCACAGGAAGCAGAATAAAGAGGAGGTTAAGGGCCATACTGAGGGTCAGAATGGGTTAAATTTAGTTAGCATCAGAGGTTATAGCTTTTAACAAGGAGTTTGAAGGAAACTTATTTGAAGATGCAATTTGTTTCTTCTTTGTCAATCATTTTTTTAAAAATCTCTATTGATAGTGACAACTTAACAAAGTTTTTATATGCTGGCTTTTTTCCCCTCAGTCCTTTATACAAGATAAAGAAACCGTGATGCTCAAAGAGAGATGCAGGTGGGAAACGACTTTATAAAGCTTCCATGATTTTCAAATTGAGGGTTGAAAGTAGGTTCCCTGCTTGGCTAAGTCAAAATTAATTTGTAGATGTTAAAAAGACAGACACGTTATTGGCAGAAGTGGGAATTGATGGCGGCAGCCAACAGTTTTATCAGTCACATTATAACAGCGCTGTCTTTGTGCATAGGAGTTTCTCTTCCCCCACGCCCTATTTTTCTGTTTCTCCTCCACTGTCTACCCCCAAGGGGGATCTGACTGAAACCATCTAAATGAGATTCCCGATAAATCCTTTCTTTAGAATATGTTAGTGTATTCTCTGTGTGAAGCTAGTTGGTATAAAAACCAAGCACAGGCAGCTGAGAGTGGCTACAGGTTACAAAAACGTTCCATTGGGTATTTTTTGCTGCCTCTTCAGCCTTTTAAAATCTACAGAGTTCAATTCTGGACAAACTATTTAAGAAAGTACATTTAGCATAATAAAATGATTTTTTAGGCTGCAATCCCCAACATACCTACCTGGCAGTAAGTCCCATCGAGCTCAGCATCTGAGCAGACATTTATATGAAAAAATAAACATTTTAAGGTTACAGCATTGCTCTTGGTTCTGAAGACTTCCCTTAACCATGCCTGTTCATGCTTAACCATGAGCATCAAGTCAAGACCTTTCTTTAAAAGAAAAAAGTGAAACACACATCATCCATGCCTCTCAGAGGAAATTGGTATAGCTTGAACAGGTGCAGAAAAGGACAACAAAAATTATCAGTTTAGGGCAATTCCCTGTGAGGGGTTTTTGTTGGCTGGGGGTGGTGTTATGTTCATTTGTATACTGCCCAGTAGCCAGAGCTCTCTGGGCCATTATGATATCTGGAACTGTTAAAGGTAAAGGTTTCCCCATGACATTAAAGTCCAGCCATGTCTGACTCTAGGGGGCGGTGCTCATCTCCGTTTCCTAGCTGAGGGAGCCAGCATTTGTCCACCGACAGTCTCCGTGGTCATGTGGCCAGCATGACTAAACACCGAAGTGCACGGAACGCTGTTTACCTTCCCACCAAAGTGGTACCTATTTATCTACTTGCATTTGTATGCTTTCGAACTGCAAGGTTGGCAGGAGCTGGGGCAGATTATGGGAGCTCACCCCATCTGCAGATTTGAACTGTCGACCTTTCGATCAACCAGCCCAGCGGCTCAGCAGTTCAACCCACTGTTAGGCTTAGAAAAAAGCTAAGGGGAGACATGAAAGAAGTGTACAAAATTACAGTGTGGAAAAAGTGGAAAGGGAACTATTTTTCTCCCTCATAATACATGACTCCAAAGGGTCATCCCATGAAGTTGATTGGTGGAGGATGATAGACAGCTAAAAGGAAGGACTTCTTTACCTCATGCATAGTTAAACTATGGAATTCACTTCCATGAGATATAGGGATGCATTTGAAGCCATTTTTGATAGCTTTAAAGGATTGGACAAATTCATGAAGGCAATCAAGTCCTGTATCAGAGACCCTATGTTTTTGTACATCAGTTGTTCTGCTTTTGTGTTGCACCCTGGATAAGATGGTCCCTGTGTGAACAGAATGCTGGACTAGAAAGGATATTATGTTTTATTTCATCTCTACTATATCACCAGGGTATCAGAGTTTGTTCCCCATTTTGTCAGGCTTCCTTCAGTTAGTTTTTCAAT